TGCCAATTCACCACAATAAAATATATATATGGGTATTAATTGATTGATCTAATATATATTGCCAATATATATTAGATCAATCAATTAATACCCATATATATATTTTATTGTGGTGAATTGGCAGTGCGTTTCATATTAATAAATTGTAATCACCTCAGAAATTCTAGCAATTTTTGCAACGATGCCTAATGCAAATTTTCCCGAGGTCATGCCGTCGGATCAACTATTAACCCAATCCACCCAATGATAATCAATATTTTTACCACCTCGCGTGTGGGTTCTTAACCAGTTTAAAGTTACACAATTCGTGTAGTGCGTGAGATAATTTAGACCAACACAATTCCAATATAGTTTAATACAATTAATTATATGCACAGATAAATAGAGGAAAGAATGTACACCGATCAATGTTTCACATACAACGCCACACATGAACACACGCGGCATTCACCACGCATCGACGCAGATATCCAGTTAGAAAGTGGAGAAGGTGACAAAAACACGCACTATATACACAGTAACAAGATAAGTAATGATCATGTCTGTTGTATCAATCATTAATTATTGGTTCACAACACCGGTACATTCATCACACGGACACTCATTCAATACATAAATAAATCTCTCGTGTACATAGTATAATTTGAAAAACACGCGTAAATGAATCTCTTGTATACAACACTCAATTCGTTTCTTATAATAACAACCGTGACACAAATGATATTGTACAAATTGAGTATAAATAAAATGTGATCCAAAGCGGAGGCGCCCTCACATGTGCATGTTGCCGACGACGATGACAAACAAGCGTCTACCCATGATCCTTTGGGTTTTAGCTAGCGTTGTTATTGGGCTCATACCACTAATTGAATTTCCATAGACGACAATGTTAACATATGACGAGATTGCTATATGAAAATGATGAAGAAAGTTGAAAACATGGCTCAAAAATGGGAAATCAACATGCCAGTAATCAACCATATGAAAAAAACATGGCATGTTGGCCAGCTCAAACTCTTGCCAATCTCAGGTAAACAAGACACACCTACTGTATTTGGATTGCACCAAAAGAAATCACTGGAAAAACACCAAGATTAGAACATCCAAATATACACAGAATAAACCCACAGGTACATAGCCGCTAAGTAGTAAACAAAAGACCACATGTTGGTCTCACCTTTGACCCAGGTGATTACGCCCTCAAACAGGGAGCACCTGAGAAAAAAATATTTAAAAAATTTCATTGGTTCTTGAAAGGCATTTAAATTGGTTAATTAGTGGCATGAGACCTATTGTCGCTTAGGACTCATGCATTTCATGAAAGTGTATTGAGTAAACACAAGACGCGTGGTTTTCTCCCCCATGGTCATTATTTGCATTTGCATTTGCGATTGCTAACTAATGTACCATAACTATAGACTTCACAGTCACATGACGGTATACAGAGCAACGTTGTGTTAAGCGATCTTAACAGGCTTAAACAGATGTAGCCACCTATACTGAACAATGGAATTATTTTATTCATGCAGCTTATCACTCATATTCAGAGGATGGAAACAATAATATTGATCTATCATAACTTCACACCATATATAAATACCATATCAAAGTTCAGAATCGCAGAAACTAGCTTACTTCTTCATACATCAACACCTATATACAATAAAGCTACCTCCCCATCCCCGCCACCCTCACCAATTCCACTCCTCCTCAACGCCGATATCCAGAGCATCACTATTACCACGAACAATACTCGCTTCACCATCATCAAGATTGTATATTCTCACTTTCACTAATTTTCCTCTTTGCCACATTAACCGCTGATGACTACGTTAACACAATGCATAGCTCGTATTGCATATACCCTAATTTGATGGCATACCAACAAATTACATACGGATGAACGTAGTATTGATATGGTACAAGGTGACAGAGACATCTGTTTAAATTTAGACTGTAACATAAAATAGGTTGCAATAGATAATAATGTAAATGTATTTACATGCTTCTAAATCTTTCAAATATATTAAATAAATATTCGGGCCAACGATGAAGGCAAAGAATTGTTGAAAAAAACATTCAATATACTTATGAAATATTTTATCTACAGTCGTAATACATTGGTTATTCCCGTGTAAATATTTCCCGCAGAAACAGCCGGAAACAGCATTAAATAATTCATCATATATTGTCACTAGTGTGACACACAAACAAACACGCCCACACACACACACACACACACACATATATATATATATATATGTTCACATGAACTGCCCCGTACCTATTCAATCACCATGGTTCGACTTCTGTGCTTGGCGATTTGTCTGACACTAGCATTGGCTGAATATCGTAGATATGATGGGTAAAATTTACAAACAAACTTGAAAACTCATCTGTGTATAGATTTTCGTAACATGGTATTAATGGAGGCAGTTATAATAATGTAGATGTAAAACTACATGTATATTTTGCACAGTGACGTCAATACGTTTTTGATACTCTATCCACCCAATTGTTACGAGCTAAATATAAAAGCGACTTCTACACTAATATTTTTCTATTACCCTTTTCTTAATAACCATTTGTTGTGTGAACTACTTTATCCCTATTTATGCTTTGCTTCACTCATACAGATACCAAGTTTTGAAGCTTGATGTCAAAAATGACCGCGACTTAGAAATTGTCGGAAAACTGGAAAATGATATAGAGGTTATTACACAATATATATATCATCATATTATACACGGAATATTAATACTACAATAGACACAGGTATGCAGTACACTAGATCGTATATTAATATTAATTTTAATATTTGTTGTGTACTAAATGTTTTTTTTCCCTAAATTTCAGCTCGACTTTTGGAAATACCCGAGCGATCTGATGGTCCCACCAGGTAAAATGGATGGAATAACATCTTACCTGAATAACAATGGAATTATGTACAATGTGATGATGGAAAATGTCCAAGATGTATTAGATGCCAACGCCCCAGCTCAGGCACCAGGAATAAATGTTGTAGATTTCACTAGATATTATTGATATGAAGAGGTAAGACAATGTGTAATCGACACAACATACCGTATCTGTATCAATCATTGTCTAAATCATCGTGTTCTTAAATTGTGTCACTTGGAACAATGTTCAGTGGACACTATTTTTACCCATTATCGGTATTCTAGTGACAGTAACCAATAATACTGAAAACATAACAATCATATATCATTTTTAATTCATCCCAAACCTTAAACGTATTTAGTACTTTCTTCTCTGTCGTCGAATCTAACTATTTTTACAAGTAATTATTATAAATTTGGATATTCATAGATTTAAATTGCTTAAAAAACTAATTTTCAATCTCGTAACAGTGATATGTAAATATTGTTGTTGCTTTTTAGGAAAATAACTTTACAAAAACTAAACTTTAATATCAAGTATTGTTGTTTATCCAAATATAACATACGTTGTTTATTTCAGATTGACCAATGGATTAAAGATATGGCTACCGCATATCCATTAATTGCTGATGTTGTTTATATTGGAGAATCCTACGAACTACGACCCATGCGAGCATTGAAGGTAATCATTGTTTTTTTTAATATGAGTCAATGTTCTTGAAATACCTGACGGCTATAAAAGACTTTTTTAAAAACGCAATAACAAATTTACATTTTACCAATAGTTGGGAGTAAATGCGGATGCATCGGCAATTTGGTTTGAGGGCGGGCTTCATGCCAGAGAGTGGATTGCACCAGTTACCGTGATGTACATTGCAGAGCAGGTGATTTATCAATAGTTTTACAATATATTACATTAAAGCACACATGTATTTGATGCTAGTGTCATCTTTGTTATTAACATGATTAATAATTCGTTTTCATTAATAGTGTTGAAGTAGATATTAAAATGTACGTGTTGGTTTTGTCTTGCACATTACCAAACAAAAATATCTACAAAAAATTCACAGAAAACAAAAAAGTAGAACACTCAAAGAGCATTTAGGTTTGACCATATTTATTTATTTATTTATTTATTTATTTATTTATTTATTTATTTATTTATTTATTTATTTACTTATTTATTTATTTACAGCTTGCAAAAGAGTATGACACAGATCTAACTTTCTTAAACACATTTGAATTTTACTTTTTACCGACCATTAACCCAGATGGTTACGCCTTCACTTGGACTGATGTAAGTAAATTCTTATTCGTATTGTTTGATACATTAGTAGACATTCATCGTCATGAACTGAACATAATATTTTTATTTATAATTTTATTGAATAGTGATGTGTGACCAGGTTTTAAAATCCAATCTATAATTGCCCATTTCCGTTCACTGCGAGAATCCCGCGTTATGCGTGAAATACAACGTAAAAACAGGACAAATAAGATCAGGACAAACATCGCGTGGGATTCAACAAACGCGAAAGTATTTTGGAGGATATTTTACATATATACACATTTGATGATAGGCAATTTCGATGAAGTAAGGGTATTCGAAAGCAATATTCCTCTGTCGAAGATCGGCCGGTCTATGTGAGCTACGAAATAAAGAAATTCGAGTTCAAAATCAAATCGTTCGATTTTTTCGGCAGATGTTCGACGCGCGTCTTTCGCAGTTGAACAGAAAATCACCTATTCTATAAGATTTTCTACAGTTACTTTTTTGACCTATCTTGACTTATTATTGCAATAAAGATAACGCAAACCATATTCCCGTGCAAAAAAAACAACACGTGAGATCGTATTAATTTACTTACAATTCATCTGTTTCTGTCACATTAGTTTCATGCCCGTACTTACAAAAATGTGGTGTTTCTTCAAAACAACAATATTAAGTGAATCGACATTTATTTACAATACACAGGATCGTATTAGTTTAGTTATTAGTGTATTTAATATAGATCGAACTACGTGGATAATTCACAGGTGCAAGTTCCAGTACAGATCCTTGTTCACAAGAATATCGTGGTGACTTTCCAGAATCTGAAGTTGAAATCGCAAAAACAACTGATTTCATTACACTCGCTTCAGCATCGCAACGATTTACTATGTTCATTGATTTCCATAGTTACGGACTAATGTGGATGTGTCCCTGGGCCTACACCACTGAGTTACCACCCGATTATGATGATCAGGTAATATAATAATGTTTGTTTAAAAGTTAAAAAGGAAAATATTTTACCTAATACTTTAAACATTTTGTAGGATATTTGTAGAAAAAAACGTAGCATTCTTCAAAACTGTTTTGGAAAAAAGGGTCGAAATGTCCAAACAATATAGTTACAGCGACATTTCTATAGAAGACCTGTTCGTAAGGAATATCCATTGTCACTTGTCACGACAACTATTAATCTTAACGTTTAGTCTGCTAGCATCCGTAATCTCACGATATTTACAAATCGAATGTACCCGCTATATTTGTAGATTGCTACGTTGTATGATCTCGTGGCCTAGTGCACAAAATATAAAAAAAAACTGACACCAAAACACTATGTTTCTTTCAGTGCAATTGTGCAGAGGCTGGTGCCATGGCAATTGAAGCATACAGTGGGACGCAGTATTTGTATGGAAATCATCTCAGTGAGTAAATAACGTCATTTGATATTCAGAATGGTTTGTCAATCGCTGTAAAACATAATGGTGTATACATTTTATTTTTCTCTACTTAACAGAACTAGTCTCAGGTGCTGCCTACGATTGGGCTTATGGTGGCCCTGTCAATATTAAATACTCGTACGCAATCGAGCTTCCAGACAGAGAAAATGGTTTTCTCGTACCCGCGGAAGACATCATCCCAATAGGAGAAGAGACCTACCGAGGCGTGAAGGCTTCCATCAACTGTATTGTTAATACAGAGCCATATGTTCCATGATCCAAATGAGAGAATATCAATACCTGTCCGTGCGTGATATATATATATATATATATATATATATATATATATATATATATATATATATATATATATATAATACATATTGAAATAAACAATTGAGTATATAGGCTCGTTTACAAATGAAAGTCTGTTGATTATTCAATACTTACTAATACCCGAGTTATTTCTAACAAAATTCTTATGAATTATCTGAAAATGAATTCCGTGTCATAAATACGATTACAAAAACATCCATCAGTATATGTGAATTAATCATAGCTTTGATGAAAAAATAAAATTTGATATTGAAACCTTGTTTCTACATTATATGACTTTACCAAATGATGTATTAAAATTTATTACACATTATTAACATTATTCATAAAGCAAATTTCAACAAAACTGGTGTGAATCTTTCCTACACTGACGATGACATCATCAGTATACTAAATACAAATATATTTGCAGAGTTATATTTTTTCAGTACCAGCAATCCAATGAAATCAAATTGATTTCACTGATGGCTGATTTATTTCCACTATGAAGCTACATTTCTACAGGCATTAGTCAAAATGTCGAAGGGGCCAAATCTTTCAATGTATGTTTCATCAACAATCCTCAATTTAGTAGTATTTCCATGATAAATCTAACTGAACTTGAGATTATGAATATTACAGACTTCGATCTGTGTCTTGAATTTGACTCTAAGGACCAGTTTTCTACCAAACTATATGACAAAAGAAACAATTACTGTCCCTTGTTTGACGTAGATATCAAGTTTATTACATTAACCATTTGATAGTGACTCATAATTTTATATACTAGTATGGCGGATGGCACACGTAACCGAATGTGCTTATACGTTTTAAAACACTTGACATCACTTCATACTGTAAGGTACATACATTTTTCTCTTCCTGGTTTGACGATGTTGTGTTGTGCAATCATTTTGTTGTCCGTTAGTTTTCCTATACAACTTTCGTCAAATTTCAACAGTGCAGGCATGTCGTAGATGCAGATAAAACTATGTGTCATCCCTTTTGACCTTTATTTGAACAAGAACTAAAACAAATAAGCTATTAGAAAACTACTGGATACATTACAATGATTCTACTGAAGACACTCCGGGAAGTACAGGTAATATGTGTTTATAGGATGCTGAAAACAACTGACGCGATAAAATTGAAACAATCAACAAACAGATGATTTGCACAATATACGATGCTGAAGAGTGTGTGTGTGTGTGTGCGTGTTTGTTTGTGTGTGTGTGTGTGTGTGTGTGTCTGCCTGTGTGTCTGTCTGTCTGCAGTGAGTGTTCGAACTGAGGTGAGTGAAGAAGTACTTCTCTCCAAAACAGACTCATTGTGAAAATTGTTGAGTTCATAGTGCCAAAAAATTTAGCTTTCACAAGTTGTGTGAAGTGTACCAGTTCTGATCTGAGTAAACACAAAAAGCCAAGTGTGGATTTAAAGAAATAAACGAATGATCTGAACAATGAATCACATGACTAAGTGTGGCATTACACATACCAGAACAGAAATGTCTCATATGCTAAAAAAACAAGACTGGAATATATTCTGTCATCCACAGTAAAGTGCCTCTGTCAAACAGTAACAAACCAACAATTAAAGGAGAAACAGATTCGATACATTGCAGTTGCGTCGTCTATTGTCGTCTTTGTGGTTATTTCGCGACGCCTAAGTGGTTCGTATATTTAAGATAATAGCGTTATCTTGCTGACACGATTTACCGGCACGGAGCAGACGACGTCACTCGAATTACATAGCAGTTGTGATGTTCACATCAATTCTTTTCACGCATGTTTATTATCTTGGGCTGTGCAATATTTACTTTTTAATAATAATTCACATATTCAGGTCTTTTCCTCCATACATTTCCCTCAGCAGCAACAGATGTCCGTCATTGCATAGCAAACGCAATTGTATAGAATACATTTAGGGCATCTTAATTTAATGTATTTTATCGAAACAGCATCTCATTGAGTGAGAATATTAATGTCATAATACAGATTTGAGTTTTTCGTGTATATGTGGTTTTCATTGAATAACCGATCAACTGGATTATTCAAGCATGCTGTACAGTTTTACTTCTATCTTCAGGAACATGTTTATTTTTTTAATGTACACAAATGTCACTTTGCGCTTACATCTCCGCGATGAAATTAGTCATTCCTTACCAATACTCTAGCCACCAAGGGTATTTAATATTCAACCTATGACCTGACCTCGACAGTCACATTCATGGTCAAAATCAATACGTCCACGTAATTAGAACATGAGAATTTGAACAGATTGCCCCAATCATATTATGGTGATAGCAACATATATATCTTCAGTTTTACAGTTTAAAATCTACCAAAAGTTAATAAATTATTGCGACCCAATTGGTTAACAACTGACTGTAAAGGGACATTTTAGAACATGTTGTTTTCTGTTTTAAAATATCCATCTAATTAAAACACCTTCAATGAGACTTGATTGATTGCATATATTATCATAATTAATTATAGTTTAACGGGTCTGTATATACTGTATATTGTCAGACTGATACATATGGTTATCATAGCATATATTTTGTCCAATTATAGTATTTCCAGACGTGTAAGTTGTGTACTAATTACAGTAGTTTTACAAAAAAACAACAAGCTGAACTCGTATCGTGTATATTTGACTTCAATGCTCTTCCCCCTGTAAGGTCAAACTCAAGATCAAACACGTAAGTTTATCAGAAACATTCTATGGTCATGTATTTATTATGTAAAAGTGACAAACCGTTTAGCAATGGTCTTAAATAACGATTTTTTTTTCAGTTTTTACCGTTCAACAAAATTCAGCATTGTGCTTGCTTATATATTCAGTTGAAACGGCGTCATCTGCATGCAATCAATTAACGTCGTGCTGGTAAATGGTGTCACCGAAGTAAATATATCATCTTAAATACACACACACAGTTAACTATTAACGAACAACACAAAGTCGGGCAAATATATTTCATCACAAATTGTGAATCGACATCCCGACAACGATGTCTCGATTGTTTCTGCTTTCGTTGTTAGTTTGTAGTTGTTTGGCAGATGTACGTTACGATGGGTAAGAATCTCAGTATTTCCTATATAATGTTACTTCGCTATTTCTGTAGCGTTTCTCCCGGAATCATTGTAATTTTTCCCTTATTCACAAAACAGTTTTGCAATAACGCAGTTCATGTATCTTGCATCACGTCAGAATTAAGTGTGAATTGATAGAATGTCTATTTTTTAAAATAACAATTTCCTTTAAGTAATTTGGACAAACTTTTCTTGTGAATATTTTGGAGAGCTGTAGGCCGAAGTACATGTAATCTGTTTCGATAATTTGGCGGCGGCCATCTTTGGATTTGTCCAAACCGCTATCGTGGTCCATTTTAAAGCTTGTCTTTAAACGTCCAGTTCTAATTACTTTACAACAATGGGAAAGATTACGTATGATTGACTTGCCTAGAGGTAACTGAAAGTCATTTGACCGGACGAAAGTTTTGAATTAGTTATATCAGTCTAATACAAGCCTTAGGGTAATAATGGTAGTGTACCATATGTATTGAACCGTGCGTTATACGTCAGTTTTTTTCCGATTCATGAACATTTTCAAATCGCACATAACCTAAAATAACATCGATGTATTTTTCTTATAACACTATTTAATATTTTGCACGCATTGTAATTCGCAGAGGTTGTGAATTCGAACTTGTTATCAATTTTTAATGAATTCTAATTACCAGCTTAGTCTGATATCTAGGACAATTATTATTTTACGACAGGGTCTGTATTGGGAACAAGAAATATGTGTACACGTTTTTGAAAACTACGAATTTTTTATAGTGCTTGAATTAAATCTGTCTTGCTCTGGTCGTATGATTTGAAACTCATTTTATTATTTAAAATTTAAGCATTTTAATATACTAGTTGTCGGTTAGAAACTGACGTCGTGAACTTGGTGACTTTTCTGTGTTAACGCCATTGACTTATCTTACTGACTGACCTTCATTATATCAGAAGGTATAACTATGATTTGTATTTCATATTACGTTAAAGGTACAAGGTTCTTCGCATGAACTCAGTCAACGATGAACAAAGAGAAGTACTTCAACTACTGGCCAATACGGTAATATATTCTTAAGTGCACGCATTGGAGTATATAAATTTGCACAATTCCAGTTGTGTCGATCATGTGTGTTGTTTTCAGAAAATAAGTAATACTTCTGAAATGAAGCAACATCGACGACGCGTCTGAAACCCACACTTGTGCAAAATTGTTCATATAACCGGTCTTCAATTTATTACCGGGGGTAATTGGATATTTCTTAATGTGTCAATACTTGGTTAATATGGGACAGTGTGAAAAAAAAACGTTATCCTACGTTTTTCGTAATGAGCATCTTAATGTTGAACAACTGTAAGATGCGTTTGAAGGTGTAACCAAACCATCAGGTAATTTCTTTGTTTTCAGTTCGATTTCTGGGATTTTCCTCGGGATTTGATGGTACCCCCAACTCAGCTTGAACGTACACTTGAATTGCTCGACACCCACAATATCGACTATGTCGTATGGATTGAAGATGTACAGGCGAAGATAGACGGTGTATTCACCAACCGGGGGAAAGTTCAGCTTACAGAATTTGATTACAACACCTATCATCCACTTAATGAGGTCTGTATTTTCCCTGAATGACACCGACTATACGAATTTATTGTAGCGTAATATAAAAACATAGTATTCTCGCACGTTTTACCGCTAATCAAGTTATAACTATACTTAATGCGTAACACACCTTGTTTTTGCATAATTATGCAGATCATGGATTGGATAGTTGCGCTCGAAGCTGAATACCCGGCTTTAGTTACTTCTTTTGTCATTGGAAATTCGTACGAAGGCCGAGATTTGGTCACCATGAAGGTAAATATATACAGTGTGGACTAAGTAATGACCTATGTTCTTGCATATTAAATGATATTGAATGTCATTGAGATGTGTCTGTGCAATTCTAAAGAAACTGTATGTTTTAGGTTGGTGTAGATACGGGAAAACCGAAACGTGCTTTCTGGTTTAATGGTGCTATACACGCACGTGAATGGATCTCTCCTGCGACCGTTATGTGGATGACAAACAAGGTACTACTTGGACATTCTCCCACCTAACTTATAAATGTAAAAAATAATCTTTAGGTTTTTTAGTGAACTACTTTCATGTTACACCGTCTCAGTCACAGTCACCGACCGGCATGCATAAGCAATGTTTTTATTATTTCTTCAAGATGATTCAAGATTATATGGGAGCAGACCCAGACGTGACTTTCTTGTTGGAAGCGTACGATTTTTATATTCTGACAGTTATGAACCCAGACGGATATCTATACACGTGGACAGACGTACGTAATATATAAAGTGTTAAATATTAATCATTCGTGTTTAGTTCTGTATTTTCAAATACTAATATCACTAGGTTTAATCTGTCGACGAATATTATATGTTGATTTGACAGGATCGTATGTGGCGTAAAACTCGATCCCCCAATGATGGTTCAATATGTATTGGAACTGACCCAAACAGAAACTTTGATTACGAGTGGGGAGGTATGTATATTTGTAGTGAACGAACATGAGGCAAGTCTAATCATTAGGATTTAATGTAAGCATTTTTACATCATCTTAAAAACAGAGTTTTTAGAACCGGTGTGTATAGTAATATATAAACCATGCATTGCTTAAATCTTCGCCGAAACCATAAATGCGTGGTTTAAAACAATAACGAAAACATTTTTACGTCTGTCAATGCCGTTAATGACAATGAAATGCTCTCATCTTTTACTCAACAAAGGTTTAGGAGCCAGTGATGTACCGTGCTCCAGCACATATCGCGGCGCATACCCACTCTCCGAAAGCGAGGTTGAACATGTGGTGAACTTCATCAGAAATCAATCCGCAATACAGCCTTTCGATATGTATATTGATTACCATAGTTACTCACAATTGATGCTGTCAGCGTGGGGATACACATATGATTTACCCGCTGATTACGATGCTATGGTGAGATTTATGATTATAAAAACAATAAATCCAACGTTGTACGTATACGCCGACTGCAATTCTACAATAAACAGGGAACAGTATTTACTTAATTGTTACTGTTTGTAAATATTATTCTCTCCACAGTATGCGCACATGGAAGTATACACTGATGGCATATTCTCTGTCCATGGTATGGTATACGAATACGGCAATGCTGCCTCTATTAATTGTGAGTCTTACACGACACATGTCCGAACCATAGTACATTATGAGTCACATTCTTTAGATATCAATATTGGTACTACACATGTACGGTTAAGAACACGGTTGTACGGTTACTGTTTTTGAGTAACACCACCAGAAAACCACACATCAATACCCAATGGTGTATTTCATATAATAGCCTTCAGAAGTACGAGTTCAATTGTATTCAAAATGCTCTTATATGTCACATATTATTTAATCTTTGTTTTACGACAGATCCAGCTTCTGGTGGAAGCAAAGACTGGGGATATGGCGATAGAGGGATTGTATATTCATACACCGTCGAGCTCCGCGATACGGGCGAATACGGGTTCTTGCTTCCAGAGGACCAGATTCAACCGACCGCGGAAGAAAACTACGTAGGTCTTATCGATGGATGTATACACATTGCCGGCGTTGTTGGCGCATAATCACTCTTGATATGTTGTTAGTATGATGTAGTTATGTTAAGGTTGCATTAGAATGAAATAAAGTGAATTAGAATGTAAAAACGTTCTTCTCGAGTTGTCACGCAGTGTCTTTGTTCCGAGCAATGCTATTCATAACACGATCACGTCAATTAATAAATGTAAATTGTTATTCATATGTTTCAACATAAATGAAGTAACGGAGATTATTCTTTATTGTATATCGTAATCAAGTTAAGAACCACATTATGGGAAACTATATTGGGAGTTTATTTTTCTTTAACTTTAAAAAGCAGCAGTTCAATATAGTATACCAAACAAAAAATACATCTACAGAGCACATTACTTTGCGAAATGCACTGAATAAGAGGACAAAGTTCGAGAACTATAGTTCTAAACTTATGTATTACCACTCACCACAACACGATTCATGACTATGAGGGAAATTTGAAAAAAAAAAATATAACAAATCCCTGATCAGGTAAACAGTCCATCCTACATTTACATATCCATACCGAGTGACAGAAAACAAACAACGAATTTAATAGACCATTTTCTGTTTACTGCGAGATCTCGCGCTTTGCGTGAAATCGATCGTAAAACAAAGAAACGTCATAGCCACTCGTTCAAAAATTGCATGGGATTCTTAAATCCTTGTGAAATTAGCATTCACTGTTGATTTCTCGTCAGATTTGTCAATTTCCGAAAGACATGCCATTTCCCCTTTTATAGGATAGTAGTCACCAAAGATCAAATGCCTATGTATTCAAATTAGAGTATTACAATTGATATGGAAACATTTCATAATAAATCAGCTGTTTATTCGTGGGCAAATACGTAGGAACCTTTTATTACATTATCACAGACACTAATTTTGCTATTATGGCTAACATGGCATGTCATAATCACAGCATTTTTTGGTAATAGCGCACAAATTACACCATCCATTTGGTCGAAACTAACGTCTTATATAGCATTCTGAAAAGTTTGAAGGACTATATCGCCAGAACTAGGAAGCACATACACATTCCGCTACCCTTTGACAAAATTGTGCAGTCTTTAACATGAACAATATCTTGCCAATTTACAATCTACAATAAAGTAATTACAACTTATGTTTTAGCTGGGATTGAGACCATGGTAAACACGATGCCTTCAATATTCGTCATCTCATCTCATATCATCTCATATCATAGAAAAACAGGCAGCTGTTCCCAATCCATGGTCAGTAACATCCCATTCTGTTTGAATAAGAACTAAATAATATGAAAACCTTCCTTATTTAGCAAATGATGCAGACCCATCAGTTAACACGCAGACCAATATAACAATACGATATCATAAACAGATGTGACAAACGTTCATTTGAATCAGACAACTATGCAGAACCCCGAGATGAAAAACCAACTAGAATATTGGCCTAATATAAAGACATTGGTTTCATCCGTCCTTGACCCAAGCCCGGCACAATCCAATACATAACAGCATAACATGGCGTGCCAATGTAATCTTCATAGCATCGTATGTAGATGGAATGGACGGCGATAACCTATATAAATTGACATAAAAGCATATCACTGTCAGTTTGCCGATATCCTAAAAAAACACTTGAATACGTCATTGCACTGATAGTGTTCTCACGTCTGTATCTGTCACATACCACCACAGACAAGAGTACAGTTATTGCATCGCATTCTCTCAAACACATCTTGAAGCAGTGTTGTGAAGAATATGTTGAAATTGTTTATATTGGCACTGTGTGCCTGTGCCTGCCTGGCTAAGAAGGATTACAATGGGTAAGGCATACTCGATAACTTGAATATTATAAGTGTATAGTCACGCATAAAACAATGAATGTCAATTGACAACATCTAGAAGGAAGTGGTACGCATTTTGTAAATGTTACCATATTTATAGTAATACATAGAAAATTCAAAACCCCACCAAAGCATGATTTCAGATCAAGTACACCTGGAACGACATATAATTACACTAAAATAAAGGTTTTATTCATTCATAGTCCATTTTTTGACATTATATGCTGACATCGTTGTTGAGGAAAGTGGTGATGGGGTATCCTAGTATATTCTATTCTATTCACAGATATCAAGTAATTCGAATGCAAATAGGCGACGCTGAACAGTATGACGTGGTCAAGTTTCTCATGGACATAAAGGGGGTGTGTACAAGTTTTCATTAATTATGATTATAATATTGACGAAAGTGTTAAGTTGAACAAAATAAAAATATGTATATTCATATATGACCAATAGCCCCTTTTTTTTTCATTTCTAGATTGATTTCTGGGATTTCCCACGCGATGTGATGGTGCCACCTCAATACACGGAAAAAGTCAAAGAGTATCTGGATGTGAATAATGTTCTGTACAAAGTATGGATTCATAACGTTCAGGAAAAGATTGATGGAGCATCCGATAGAGCACCCAAAACATTAGTAGATGGTTTTGACTACACAGTTTACCATCCACTTAATGAGGTGAATCCGACGTGTTTGTATAATAATTGCGCATTATTTTTTTTATCTTGATCGTGTCATCGTTGATTAATGTCAAGGTAAATAAGGGGAAACAGTTTGTCCTCATTGTGCTTGTTGTTGTTTTTGTTAACGTTGTCGCTGCACTTGTCGTTGGTGTTCTATTATGGAATCCGTCATAAGACTTCCCCTTATGGTTACAATAACTCGACTAATTTGTATATCCAATTTCTTTCAAACTTGAATATTATAATAATCTGTTTGAGATCTCGATAAAGTTCGTTTTTGGTGTGTGGTCTATGTATGTTTTTCAAGATTTTGATAAAATTGTACCTATAACGGGATGTCAATTTATTCATTTAAATGGAGCATACATAATACATTAATGATAATTCCTTGTATATCAACTGTATATTAATTGTTTATTCTCTAATTGTAATATAAATGAAATCGTTTGCATATTAGTGATTGTTGTAAGTAGAGTATAATAACCCTGGTGTATTTCAACGTATACGTATAATTACCAATTTATTTTATCTTTATATTCATTTATTTTAAGTAGTTCAGATATATATATATATATATATATATATT